GGATCTATTAAACCATTTACTTGATTATCGACGCCAATTTTTTTTTACGCAGAGTAGTGGATACAAAGGCGAAAAGTTTGGCGACCCCCGTAAAAAGCACGTTTTCACGCTTAAGTCTTGTTGCCTAACGACATCTCTCACAAGAACTTAGAGATTTAATTAGTCGAATCCCACTAGTTTCAACCCTTGACCATGTGAATACTTGACTGTTTATGAAGCTCTGATTTCTTCGGAATTGCGTGTCCAAAATATATCTTGTTTAGCGAAGTAATTCCAAGTCGTATCTTGTATTTTTTTTCGAAGGTGTTGGAATGCCTACGTGGCACCAGTCCGTCAAGTAGTACCACAGACAGCCCAAGGAGAGAGACACCTACAGATGAACTTGAAAGTGGGTATATCGCTCACCCATCTCGCCTCGTGGTTCATTCTTTCCCTTTCTACTTGCATTTTACTTGCAAAATATGCACGACACAAAAGCAATTTGAGTGTCCATCGAGAAAAAAATATTTAAAACCCTTTACAGCCTATTATCAGTAGACTTAGTCTCCATGCTGTTCTCTTTACAATTCCTGAGGTGCTTCCAAGGAGAATTTTCTTCAACAATCAAGAGCCTCTTTAGTTGGTGATCATTTCTTTTATTCATAATGTGTGATATTGTAGAGAGGAATTAGACTCAAGTTACTCCAAGGGATTAAAGGGTAAAACGAAACGTAAAATCTTTTTGCTTGAGGTTCGTTACAGTAAAAAATTAAATTTAAATGCACGAAAATGTAACTGCCTTCCCTGCCTGCCCTCGGAAGACAACTTGGAATGGTTTCACTCTATTGCTTCCGCAGGCGTTAATCTTTTTTCTCTCTTCTACAGAAAATAATCATTCCAAACTTTCAGAAGTTTCGCTCTCTTGGCAGGAGATTGACAGGTCAGTTTATAAAGTATATAGCAGCTGTAGTGTTTATCTCTTTAATTATTACTCTCAAAAAGAATCGCGTTCAATTTATTCTTTCTCAAGGTTGTAACAGGTTTTTTCCCCCTGAATTTGTAACCTCTCCTTACTTTGCGCACTTGTTTCGTTAGTTTGCTGGCAGTGACAAAACCAGGTGGGGAGACTTCAACGCGGCGGAGCGTCCTCAACTCGTCCTCGTGTAACGATAGAAAATAAAGGAGGTAATCTCATGATAAATTTTGCTTTTAAATAATCTCTTTCAGATACCAAAGTATGACGGAGCGCGAGAAGACTGATTTCAATCGCGGAGATACAAACAATGAACACTTCTTCAAAAGAAGTATTGCGTCAGCGGTTACGGAGCAGACGCACAAGAGATTGCGTACCGATAATCAACATGGAATGAATAAACAGACGGGTAGAGGTGAGAAAAGCCATGTGATGAGGCTCAATTTTGGTGTTAGAAAAAATGTGTACGCGTAGATGATTTCCTTATACCGTGTATTGTCAGTGAGGCAAAAGGACACTGATTCATGTTGACGGTTGATTCGTTTCTTCCAGGCCCAGGAAGTTCTCTTCTCTCGATGTGGAACAGTAAAATGAACGCAATAGCAGCCTCGCGGCACGAGGAATTTGCTGGCAGGCTTCAGTCGACAGGGAACAAAGCCGAGCTTTACTCCAATCCTATGGACAGCGGAAGTAACAGCAGGTAGGGCTTGTACGCGTGTAACTAAGCAAATTCTAAATCTTCCCTTCCGCCTTCCTAGAAGGATTCGAACCCTAAGGTAGCTCCGATTCCGTGGTCGAATGCTTTACCAACTGAGGTGCACAGGACTCTTTGGCGAGCCCGCAATAAAGTACTACCAGCAAAACCAAAACCAATATCGAACAGGTTATTTGTGATTTCCTGCTATTTGAGTTCTCGTTTTTTAGCTGTAGTGGGGCCCAGGGTGAGGGAAGCAGGCCCCTCTTGGACCCGTTGGTTTGTTTACTACTTGTGAGACAGAGAAAATCTTGCAGAAACAGGATCGCATGATACTACAAAGTATTAAATATTTAGAATTTAATTTTCTTGAAATATTTCTTAGTTTGCTTAGGTCATGGTGCAAAAAAGATCATATGATCTTTAAATCAAAGTTTGGAAGCGGGAGGCCCCCCCCCATAATAACTTATGTTCTGCTTGTTCGACACATAATCGAAACCCGCACTTAATAGTTGAATGTTGTTGTTGTTGTTTTTTTTTTGTTGCGTTAATCTTTCAGTGGCAGAGGCACACCCGTGGAAGAATGGCTGTAGATTGAGATGTCGTAGTGCATAAAGTGAGGCGTGAGGTGTAAGGTTGGAAAAAATTATCTGCATGTACTTCACCTCACGCTTGAAAGAAAAGAACCCCCACGAGTTGACACGCGAGGTCTCAATGTTGCCAGGAAACGACTTACCACAGCCGCTGGCCGAGTAGAGCTCCGAAGGGTTAAAGAACGTTTTGAAATCAACCACGGCCAAAGGCTTTCAATGAAAATTTTTACTAGTAAATGGAATTTCTTTACGACACTGTTGTCGTCATTGCCTCCTCTGTTGTAGTGCAAAATTACTATGCAAGGTGCACCTAGAATTTCGTCATCGGTTTAATGTAAATAGAAGCTGATAACTTTTACGAGTTTATGCTACTTTTCTAAGTTGTGTCATTTCAGGAAATGTTTTCCAGCATCAGCATTGATACATTCCTTGCTTGTTTTGTAAGAACAAATGACCTTGAAGTGTTTACCAGCTTGTTTACTGACGTTTGGAAGCGCTGGATTTGTCAAAGACTTGTGCGAGCGGAAAGGCCATTCCTCGGCTATGACTACGAGCGGACCATCTTTCCCGTGTTCGTGCTCGAAACGGACTAAATGCACACCTCTGTAACTCTGTATTGGAGTAGCTTTTCCGTAAAGAATTGTAGACTTGATGCGAGAATCCCTCCAAGACTCTTTGTCCTTCCTCCAAGTTGAGGATTTCCTTTCCGCGAGATCTTTGCAGGAAGTCAGATGTTTCTGCGACATTAGTTCGCGTTAAAACGAATATTCAGTAGAAATGGCGTTAATTATAATTTCTGTAGCTGTGATAATTCTCCACTGAAACTCAGCAATAAACTTTACTAATTGAGATAAAGCAGCGAGTGAATCTCCAAATTTTTCAGCAGATTACATCGGAGGAAAACCCAGACAGCGCAGTATTGTCTCCGGCGGGTTTCTTTTCACTGTGAATTAAGATAACATCTACTGAAAACGCAACCTTTGCCTTCGCTTTTGATGACAGTTTCCAAGGAAACAAACCCCATAAGACTCCCGTCGGCAAGTGATTTGACAGCAGCTCAGCAGGTGGCGAATTCTCGTGTTTGGACTCATATTTATCTACTTGCGTAGGCGGTTGGATTTGTAATTTGCATGCATATCAAAGAGTCCTCAGTTTGCAGAATCATTGTCTTAATTAAGAGATGGAAATATCTCATAAGCGATCTCCTGATCTGCCCTTTACTTTCAATTAACCCATAACGGCTGTTTGACTGGTTTATTGGGATATATTCCGACTTCTAAACCGAAAAAAAACCGATCACTTTTCCCTCGGAAAATTTATTTTGATCACACACATTTTTGTTTTAGTGACGCCAATATTCCCTTTCCTTTTTTCCAAGAAGAAAGGGTAGTTTGATAAAGCAGATATTTCAAACTGCTTCATAGCTATTAGTACGAAGAATTTCACGGCCGCTGGTGGTGATACAAACTCGTCTGCGATACGATGATTGCTCTAATGAAGACGAGGTTAGTTGTGGCTTTCCACGGTACTATCATTTTCGTGCTTAGCCGTTAGTCTGACAAACTTAAATTGTGTATTGACCTGGTTTCATTTTCCTATGTTTCTCAGAGCCGTGATGTCTAAAACAAAGTCGAAAACTGTGTTACAATGGTCGTACCTTGTTGCTAAGGTAACGAACCCAAAACATTCAATTTGATCCAAGTGTGAAACGATTTTTCTAATTAAATTGCTATATCACAAAGTATCCTATGAAGTACATTGTGTCGGGCCGGTAGTAACAGCGGAGATTCGGATAATATTATTACAGGCGTGCTTCGTTGATATTCCAATGTGGAGTTTGAAACATTCAATGGAAATTAAACTTCTACACCCTAACATCAGTATGTATTTTCTCCATAATGTTCTCTATAGATTTCATTTGGTACTGACAACGAGAATTTGTTTGAAAATCAAGAGCTTCTTTTGTTGGTGATCATTTCCTTTATTCTCATGACCTCGATGTTTGCTTTAGGGGTGATACTGATAGGGGAAAATAGTTATTAATCACACTTACGGGTCAAAGGGTTTAGGAGAGGAAAACAATATTGCAAGGAACGGCGAGTTGCCGAAGACCAATGAATTCTGGTTGAGACGTTTCGGTTTTTTCTTTCTTTCTTTTTTTTCGACAGTAAAGGAAGGTTAATGTACTGGAAGCTCTTTTAATCCTTGCATCCACTTCGTGTAATACTCTGGCGGTTAATCAAAACCATGTTTTTCCATCTGTTTCGTTTTCCCACCGGCTGAGTGTGCGGGAAAAAAATTGTAGAATTTGAAGCCGCGCCGCAAAACTAAAATTTCTCCCCAAAAAAAACTAAAAGAAACAAACCAAAAAAAAAAAAAAGATAAAATGGGCTCATTCGTACGAGAACGCATTAAAAAAGACAAACTATCGATAAGGGTTCCACTCAGGACAAGGGTACACTTTCTGTAAAAAACTTCATGACCAGAACTACACAGTTTTTTTCAGGAATGAGACACTTCATTAGTTACAACAAATCGCTTGTCTGCGCCAATACATAAATTATTCATCATATTTTTGGTTAGGAAACTCCGCGTGCTATCATGTATGTCCCAAATCGGTTCCTATACAGCAGCGTAGTATTGTTTACTTTAAAGTAAATTAAATAAACTTCAACGAAAATGTTCGTTGTGTCCAGAGTAAACAAATCGAGGGATTTTAATGTCACTCGGCCACATCCGGGGTACGTCGCCTGTCGTCATTTTCAAACAGTGGAGAGCAAAGGTGACACACGCAGAATCGTTGTTGATTGTGTTGCTATAGTGCGTTTATCTCGTCAGCTTTGCTTGGCACGATCAGCGAGGATTTTTTCCTTCGCCGTTGTTGCATTTGGGAAGTAACTCTTTAGTTGCCCAGGTGAGTGAAACCTATCGGAAAGTAAACGGACTCGACGGATTATGCAAGCATAGCTTAGCTGTGCGAAAGTGAGTCTGGTTCCCGAAATTTAAATTTTAAGCTTTAACACGTCGAAGTCGACGGTGTTCACCTTCGCTATATTTTTTCGAGCATAACATATTTTCTGAAACGTAGTTCTTACATAGATATTCAAAACCTTTAGGCAGTTTTCGCGGTTTTTCCCGACAGACAGCGAAGTACCTTGATACAGAAATTCTCTATTTCTTCTGAGGTTAAAATTGCTGTTTGTAAGTGATAGGAATCGGGTCGAAACAACAGTTCCTTTCGTTTTGAAAGGAAGTCGACGAAATGGGGAAGCAATGGATCAGAGCATGGCTTTTTACGTGGTAATATTTATGTATTGAAGTACCTTCTTCGTTTTGGTTAAAAAGATTTATTCGAGCGCTGTTAACATGAAATGACTTGGCATAATTTCCGTTGCAATCATCTACAGCTCATCAACTTTACGGCAGATGACAGATTAACGACAAGGATTTATTTTTAACATTAACATGTGACCTGAAAATCCAAATTTCCGAATTTGACACCACATTTCCTTACGTGTAAAAAAGAATTTACATTTTGGTGAAATAATTACAGTAAAGGCCTTTCGTTGTTTTGTCTTTTTAATCCCTAAGTTTATTTTTGCTAGTAATTGCCACTCTTTGTGTTCTCACGGCTTTAAGTTATTCCTTTTCAATTTGACAGTGATTTGCTTGGATAAACATGGCGAATATTTTTCTGTCAATCTTACAGTATTGTATCCTTGAAGTTAAAACGTATTCGTGATCTCTGAATAATTTTTGGGTTTATTTAGTGATTCCGAAAAACCGAACAGGCTGTCGCATTTTAAAACGTAATTTTCTTGAACCAGCCTGAGCTCAAGGATTAGAAAAACAGATTGACTGATGTATTTTTTGAAAAGATATTTTTGTCCTGTTTGACTCGCTTTTTTCTGTTAGGAAGCAGACAAACTCTTTGAAAATCAATTATGAAATATTGTATCAATTTCGATCATGTGTTCCCATGGCGATGAGAGAGGGGTATATTTAAACGATGAATCAATTAAATTTTAAGGGGTCAAGCCAGGCTTATGTGATTCTAGAGAAAAGAAAAAATAATTCAATAAATATAAGTGCATATCACGATTGTCATGCACCTCTTTTGTGTGTGTTGCCTGGAGTGTCATGAAGTTTTTCACTATTTTTTACACAGGAACGTAGTTGTGTCTGTGGAATGACCCATTTGGCTCCCTGTTTTGCACTTAAAACTAACAGCAACCCTTTGTCTTGTCGTCACGGAACGATTACGTAGAGGAATATTTGGACGCCAACGAATTGCGCAATAAAGCTGATGCGTAACTTTCCAAACACTGACACAACAACTCTACCACGCATCTCGCAAATCGACTGTTTACCTCAGAATCGCTTGAATCCGGACGAGTTTGAACAGAAACGAAGAGCAGATAAGGTAGGAGAACACGAAACTCACATCATGGCTCAAACAGCGGCCTTGAAAGAACAGAGCTTTGGCCGCCGTGGTAAACGGACGAATTATACGTCGGGGATCTTGCCTCCCATTTCGCAGATTTCCATGGGGGGAAGACAACTCCCGGCGGAAGCGAGTGCAAAGGAAGAAGGCTTGAAGCTTCCTCCGATTTCCCAAGTGGCTTGTCTCGGGGGCTATCTCGATGAAAAACAGCTTGTGATGAAACAGTCAAAGTCTAGAATCAGAGACAGCGATTCTGAGTTTGTAAGACTGTCTAAAGCTGGTGGTCAGAAAAACCTCCTGTGCTACACAGAGGCAGATTCTTCGCCGCGCGAGGACGCAACGAACGCGAACACATTTCCACGCTCCACTCGTTACCATCCCGGGTTCACTTCAGAGGCAGACCCAAGATGGCGCCCATCTCATTGGTCGGACTTTTCGCGACAGAAGCAAGCGAGAAGTGATCATAAATTGATATGGAGGTAGATTGGCGTGATGGCTGAGCCATTCACGGACAAAGGCTGAAAAGATATTGCTTATTCATGGGTTAAGCTTATTTTAAAATGTACAGAGTATAAAGTGTGAACCGGGTATGATACGTAGTAAATGGTAACATGTTAGGGGAATAGCTGCCATTTTTCTGATTTGTAGCCGAACGGACACATTTAATCTAGAAAAGGTATTTGATGAACTCCCTTGCTTTAAAAGCTGTTGAAAGTTATAAAAATAGCTGAATTTATCGTTCTTGTGTAAATAGGAGATTATAAAGCAAACTGTCCCAGTCGTTTACCAAACGAAATTAAACGCTCATTTTATGCGTCAACCTTGAGTACTCCTTTGCTTTTACATTTTTTTTTCTAGTTCTCTTATCCTGTCTGTGTTTCTTTTTTCTCAATTTACAGTATATTGTTTTCTTTCAAACGAATCAACTAGCTTATTTAAAACATGAGAAAGTGAAACAACGCCAGGGTATTTCGGTAACTTGCTTCGTTTTACTGTTAATCCACAGAATGACAGAGTGTTGTAAAGACTCGGTGAGATCAGTACATAAACGGGATTTAATTAACTCAGGATTAAAAGGTTACAGGATTCACATATTTTCGTGAGAAAGCATACATTTGTTGATCTCCTGTTGACAAAAGATTATTCTCATTATATAAACCGCAACCAATTTCTCAGTGAGTTCACTTACTTTTGGAAATGCCATCGAATTTCTTCATTTCTTAATGAGTGCGTGAAGGATAACGAAATGGATAGAGTTAAAGTGAATTAAATTATTGGTAGAGCCCATCTCCATCGAGTTCGTTGAAAGCTAAGCCAGATTGATCTTAGCAGCCAATCAGAGCATAGGTGAATACCACCAAGGAGCTATTGAGATTTCAGGCGAGCAAGGAGCCTGCGTACAGCGCGGGAAAACGCGACTGAGCAAGGTTCCCTGGTTTCAGTTTTGCGTCCGATTGCTGAAGCAAGGAGGAGCGAGTTTTTTAGATCAGTAACAGGAAGGAAATGAAACAATATCAGCGAATATGCGATCCCAGATTATATTTGACACTCAATGCTGGAAATTGCTTTATGAGTTCGTTGGTTATTTTAGCGTGGTTTACGCTCAGAGGATTAGTTATAGTAGTCCAAGTCGGTCTGTAATCATACGAGTGATTTACACTTACACATCCAAGACACGTACACTGTTTTATAAGTGCTAAAATACAATCTCGTTCGAGAATTTTATCGCAGTTTTGATTAGCCTCATTTATTGGCTCAGATCGTGATCTCTGATCAACAAATTAGCGCACCAATTACTTTTTATGCATGTCGTTATCGATCCAATTCCACACCAGTTTTTCGTACGAGGCTGCAAGCTGCTAAACTGCGTCATAATTCAATAATGAACACTAACGCCAGTAATTGAAGAACACGACCTCGCGCCGCAGAACTCTGATAAAATTCATTAAGGAAACAACGACAAATGATGAGCCAAAGCTAGGCTTCAAACGAGTAAGTTCCGTTAAATTTATTATCTCTCGTTAAAACGACTCCAAACTACGATAAGAACATTTTGTTTTCGACTCGTGCGCTTTGTTTGTAACTACTGAGAGCATGCTTCCAAAACTTTGTTATACCTAATCGTAAAAGTGTGTTTCTTATGTGTTGATTTTATCTGTTTATCTCTCACTTTTAAATCAAGTGCTAATGAGTAGCGAAGATGGATTTTTTCTGTTTGTTTTCGCCCTAATTTGAATCGTACTCGTTTTCGTTTAACATCCGTCCGTCCGCGCAAGAATATAGTTTTGACTACAGCTGCAAGTTTCAAGCTACTAAACTCTCTCGTGAAAGAATTGTTTATAAAAGTTTTCGACATCCTACAATTGCGGTGGACAATTCCCTTTCTCATTAGCTGGTAGAGAGATAAACAATACTCATTAAAAATCCTTTGATGTAATTTTTTTGTTCAAATGTTTAAAATTGTGAAAAAGCTTTCAACTTGACGCACCATCGAGGATTAATTTTCATTCTGTTAGTGAATCACTTTCGTTCAGATTGTATGGAGAGACTCGTGAAGTATAGCCTGGAGGCTTTTTAAGTAATATGGCCAAACCCTTTTACAAGCCTTTGGACAGGCCAGAGAGGGAAGAAATTTGGTACTGTTATTACGTTCCTCGTCAAAAGCCAGACTCAAAACCAATTCAGCGTGTTCCTATTTCACAAGTGCCGGACCTGACTAACGAGACAACCAGGCTAGTTACTGAAAACAAATATCGAAATGTGGGCAGAGTTTTGGAAACTGATTCAAAGTACGTGAAGTTAGCCAAAACTGGCGGGCGAAAGAACCTGTTATGTTATAAAGAAAACGAACGCGAAAACAGCGGGCCTAAAAGATACGAAGTAGCCGCGTGGTATTACCACGATAGTGACATGGACAAAGAAAAAGAACTCAGTGAAGAGGAGAGGCATAACAGATACAACGTTACGTATGGGAAACGGTGTTATAAGATTTCTCAACTTGAAAAACCCATTGTATATCAGCGTCCGGATTATATGACGCATTTGGAATCAGAGGAGTTGATCATGTCGCTGGGCGCATCACATCGCATTCCAGATCGCCCGATCTTCGGCTTCGACAGGTTGTCGTTTTGGAAGCGAGACGAAGAGGAAAAATCGAACAAGCTGCCTCCTTTGGTGGTAAACGAGAATGCGAGGGAAAAATCTGCGCAGCTGGGCTCTCCCAAAAAGTTTGTACCAACGAAGAAGAAGGTGAAGTTGCCAAAGTCCTCTAAGAAATCTCAGCTGTCCAACAATAGAAAATTGTTCAGTTCAGGTTATGCTACAGAATGGCATGAAAAGTGGTACGTGAAGGCCTTAAAGAAATGATTATTCGACCGCTAAGACTGGGGCTACGGAACAAACAGACAAAGTCAAGGTTTTGTTATCTAGCGAGTGACCATTGCAAAACTAGTTAATGAACAGTCAGAGAATTCCAGCGAAGATTCATTCAGAATATTAACCGGAAAGTTAAGTTCTGAGAAAAAAGTTTCGAAAATTTGACTTAAATAAGAAACTTCGTCCCATCACTTTACAAATTTGTAGACTTTTGTGAAAGCAGGTCTCTCGCGTTTAGTGTGGGGTACTTTGTGTTAATTTAATTTCATATCGGGTTTTATATGTTGTATAAATAGTCCATTGTAAAAAGTTTTTGTCAAGCTTAAGAAAAATGTTTAGCTTACATGTACCAGTTCAAGATAAGCAAATATTCCATCAATAAGATTTAAAAAAATATGAACGTCATGCAAAAATCTTGAAAGCCCTGTCTATCAAATGTTACGAGTTTATTTAAATTTCTCTTGAGTTTTAGACATTTCCTTGTGGAATAACATTATTTTAACCTGCATGGTATTGTGCAGTTGTACCTAAAAGAACCGAGAAACTGGCAAAACGATTGCCAGGAACGAACAAAATAGAACCCCTTTGTCAATATGATAGGTTGTTTCTCTAAAGCCACCTAAAAACAAACAAGAAGGAACGAGAGCGTGCAAAAAATTTTTGATGTTATTGAACATTATCAGGTACAACTGTTTATCGTCGATGCCTCCTGTCGCATTCCAATGATATAAGATCATACAAGTAACTCTGACTCGCAGTGCGCCTTTTATTTCAAATGTGTGGCGCAATAATAAAGGCACCGGTCGAGAACGCGAGATATTTGTCCTTTGCCATTAATTAAACCGAGGAAAAATCGGCGACTCATCGACTACATTCCAGACCATCCGAGAATTCCGACCGCACTCGATGTGGCCTCGACGTACGTGACACGGTGTAATTAGAAAAACAAGTAAACGTGTTTAGAACAATTTTACGAGTCTTGTCACGAGCGTGGGGCGAAGGAAAAAATTGTTAGTTCCCATTGAGAGTCGAACCCCAAACCCTCAGATTCCGCGCTTAATTTCAGCTACCACTGAACAAAAGCTGCAGTGAGACAGAACTTAAGTTGGTCCATGAGACATGACCGTTTCATTTGAAGTAAACATGTTTTTTTTAGTGTTTTCACGTGACAAGCTTGAAATTCTTTTGATATTATATATACACCTTGAATAGATAAGGCCTTGGCCTTTTCAAAGTAGTAAGAATGTTTATTGCTGAAATCAGTGACCTAGAGAACGAGGCCAATGAACTATATCACAATCACTATTTTCCACTTTGCCTGAGCGATCGAGCACTTTTAAATGTCGAAGCCGAATCGATAACTTTTCCGTTAACTTCACTTCAATCATTCGACCAGAAAAAATTTGCATTTATCGCAACATTCCCAAACTTCGGACGACAATTAAAAAAAACATATTTCAACAGTTGAACCTTCCTCAACTGCACTCGGTTACCATAAATATTACCTCGAACTCACGAACTTCAAGCTATTTCCTTTGAAGAGTATTTTTTTTACAAACTCGCCTTTTTCTCTCAATAAAATTTCTCATGTCCCTTAGAAGGTCTACTATTGTAGGCGTTACGGTGTGATAGGGCCACAAAATGAAAACACTAGTACTGTTACTCCTACTCTTGAAATTTGCGTTAATCAGAATTAACTTGTTTGCATGCGGGTTGGTAATTTGTAGTCGTAGGTGGTAGGAACTTAGTTGCTAAGTAGTCCTCATAATACTTTCCCTCTAAACATGTCGCATTTTTACGTAGTAAACTCGGTTTGCCCGTAATACTAATATTGATTTCACAATTTCTATCTTCTGATATTGAACCACATTTGTCTTCGTTTGCGTCCGAAATGACTCTTTCGGGCGCGGTCGACATAACTCGCCTACAGTAAGACAATTGTATCCGCCTTTTACTTGACTGTGTTCATCACAAAAAGCAAGTTATATTGGCCCTTTCTCAATAATGATACCAACAGTTCTGTGCCTTTTTCACGCGTTTATTCAATGATTCCTTTTCTAATCTTCCCTAAGTGACGAGTGGACTCTAGAAGCAAATTATTGTTTCTTAATTAACATCTTGTTGCACAAATATCCCGAGAATTCTACAAAAACGACAGGCAAAAATAGTCTATCAATGGAAAGCGCTAATATATGAACCTCATGTTGTTTCCAGAGGTATCCGAAACCTGCAATGGTTAGAGAGACAAGATCAATTTTTCAAACCACTAGTATCAATAACATTTTTCGGTTCCTTTCTAGTTTCGCCAGAGAATATCATGTGAAACCGACCTTCAATCTCAAAAGTTCGTTCCACGATCGATCACTATATCACAATATAAACATGAATTTAACGAAAAACTTATCGAGTCGAGACTTTTTAAGTCTTTTAATAAACCTTGAAAAATATCGGAAAAGGATGAAACAAGTCCTACGTAGCAGCTGAGTTTTCATTCATGTCTCTATTCTGTTTAACTTGCATCCTCGCGTGATCTCTGGCCGCGGGGTCAGTTCAGTCTTCAGTAAAATTCAATATTTAACTTGGCGACGACTTCGCCGAGTAAAATTCAATATTTAACTTGGCGACGACTTCGCCAAGAGTAGTAATGATATTGTTATGTGATACATGTTTATATCGCACCAATTTGCTTGATCTCTCGAAAATCGATTAGTTCAAATGCATTATATGAATGACTTTCAAAGCAATTAAGCCTCACAACGGCACCTGCGATATGAATCTTGTGGAAGTATTGAAATAGTGGAAATCATGAGCGGAGATTACTTTCCAACTTCGTGCTAACATTACGCATAAGTTGTTTCCTTTCAAGGCGTCGCAGTATGAAAACTTGTCACTGGCACTGAATCAATTCACGCCCAACAGATATTGAACTCAAAGTTAGGTTGGAGTAAATCTCAGTTATATATAATCATTTGACGCAGGAAATAAAAAAGGTTTCTATGTACACGAAACTCGAATACAGTATAGAAACTGGATCAAAAGAATGAGCCGTAGTTATGAATCTCGACGAACATAAAAAAAATCAGTTTTAGGTCTAATCGTTCACATATAAGTTTCGGCGACATAAACATGGACGTCAAATTCTCTAAATTAACCGCGACTTTTCCTTTCAAATAAGCGTTTAAGCCTTACATTGCCTCGTAACTGAAGTGTTTCAAATAAAAGCAGTCGATTTAAAATATACAGTACAGTAATTTTAGTTTCGTCTCAGCTACAAATTCGAATAAATATCTAATCATGTTTGATTGAACAAGCCTTAATGAATCAACAACATAATGAAGCGTAAAACCTGATCAGATTTCAGCTGGAGAAAGAAGGAAGTAATTTGTGACGTATTTAAATTCAAACTTTCTGTTTAGATACATCTTAATCAAGTTCGTAACTTTTTTTAAGGTTTTGATTCAGCCCTGTTCCTTCCCGGGTGTGTCCCAAACATTGGACAGCGACAAATTTCTGTAAATAGCAATTCTTTCTTTAAGTTTTATTAGAACAAATACAAGTTAGAACGTACCTTCCAGCTGTATTCTAGTGTTTACTTTCAAAGCAATTACGTCGAAATGATCTCAGACCATTTCACGCAAAGAAAAGAAACAACGTAAATTGAAGTGGTTTTATTAATTACAATATTCGATTATTTGTCTCTTTTTGCGTTTTCACACGTACGCACAAGATCAACAAAGACCAAAACATTATATCAGTATCTAAACAAGGCTATGTGTTCCCGAAAAAGCATGTCCAATTAAATATTTTTTACGATATAGGTCACAGTAATATCAGAAAGTTAACCCACTTCCGGTAAAAGCGACAATTTTTGGGGGTTTTGTTTGCGCGACGCCTGCCAAAACAAGCCACGATTCACGCTAAATTTGGCCTTACACGCTTTGGAATTCAATAAGAATAAGAAGAGAATTTCATAACGCCTTGTGATTTTCAACTTCTCGAAAGATTAGAACATTTCTGGAAACGACGCGAAAAATGTGTTAGGGTAACGCAAGGCGCGTTGAACACGTTTTGTCACGTAGTGACATGTCTTCTCCATGGTAACGCCAACGTCACGAAACGGAAAGTAGAATAAGAACAGAAAAAACAAGGAAAAATTTTCCGCTTTACTGGTTTATTTGTAGGATCATTACGTCATTTCCTATTGTGAGAAATAAAAGGCAGTCTACATGCATACGTTTTCATATTGGCTGCATTCCCTTGCGTTAATCTGATCACAGTTGTGTTTATAAAAATTCTGCGAAAGTAGCTCGTCCGTTCAGAGAGGAAACTCAAGGAAATATGAACGAAAACATGTCTGCAACCAAGACTGGTTATTTATCGCTGACTACTGACAAAAACCCAAGCCGTCAAGTCAGACTTATGGCTGAGGCGTATACGAACGTGTCAGACCCGTTCATCGTATTCTACACAGATTCGTCATTCGTTGGGAGAAAAGCTCGCGCGTTTCTGCGATTTAAGTCCTGTGCTCTGACAGAAAACGACGAGACATCTTTTACTCTGATTCCGCACGGAGAGCGAATCGGTTCTTCTGCAGGATTTCTATGCTTCAGAGCCGAGACGTCTGAAGAGAAACAAGAGTGGTTGAGAGTTTTTAAAGACAATCAGCCTGAGAACGAAAGAACTGCAGTGAAAACGAAAAGGAGGAAAATAAGTTCACGAATGTTGCCTGTAATTCAGGAAAGCTACTCTGAGGAGATCGCTGTGGTTGAGCAGAGAAGATCTAGTTTAATTCCAGTATAAATGGAACAAAATATTTTACGCGCCACAATAACGATCGTGGCAAAGAGGATCGTGCATCCAGAGACAAGGAATTTACTTCATTTATTATGAAAAAACACACACAGAATCATAGACTCTGGGAGGCCGAGCGAAACTCTGTCTCATGTAAATGTAGTATTTTCAGACATCAAAGAACACGAGATGTAAACTTTCCAGAAAGATCACGAAGATTTTCCTGATAGGAGAAGAAATAGGACTGTAATTTTTAAATAGTTCAAAATTTATGCACCTGAAATAGGCGAAGATTAACTTTATCGAGTGGGGTGACTCAGCGCAAAGGTTCGAAAATCGTATAATATGTGCTAATTTTTGGCAAGCTGATGATAGCTGTTGGAATTCGGACGTGACTTTCATGCAAAGAGAGTCTATTGAACCGACAATGGGGTCAGCCAGCAGTAACGTAATACATTAGAGACGATTGTAAGTAATTTGGTCATCGCCCACGCTAACATGAATCGACTAGTACGTCACACGATTGATTTCAAGAGAGCATGCTTTTAAAAGTTGAATGCTTTGTAAATACTTCGATGTCTCATTTGGTAATGAAAATGTTAATAGACGAAACATTGAAGAAGAAGATTACATTTTGAGTAGTTTCAGTTTGCAATGAAATTGCTATCAATTATTAAAATTTGGACGTGGAGGGTGCGTGAGTGTGTTTGGTTTTTTTTGTTTTGTTTTTTTAATTTAAGTCATCTAGGAAAACACAGATAGGAGAGGTTATTGGCGACGTAACCAAAAAAAGTCACTGGTGGATTTACGTGGGGTTTTTAATTGCGATAAGTGTTAATTCAATGAGCAAACAAGAAAAACGCGAGACACATTCATCCTATTTAATGAAGCGGGGAAAAATTAGTCTCCTGAGCTAACTTATGGGTAAAAAGATTACGTGAGTTTAATCGAAGTTGAAAACCTGTTTCTCTTGAAAAGAGTAAAGTCGACACGAGAACACACCGTATGCGTCAGTGAAATGTATTTTCATATTGATTGGAGCGGGGAAATAAACTGTAATTTGAAAGTTCCCCAATTTTAATGGAAAACCTTCTTTCCCTTTCCGCATTTATTACCGTGTTTGACGCAGGTTCGTAACAAAGTACATTAAAAGGTTTTGTTTTTGAGACCTAATTTGCACTTATTTTGAATTTGAATTGACGCATTACGCCTCTACGTTGAATACATCTCACGCATCTGGTTTGTGAGAGGTTACTCGTACGGCGAAAATAATACACACCAAATAGTATGAAAACAGCTGATTTTATTTTTCACTTTTGAATCGTAAGTGTTTCAACTGAAGGCTTTTATTCTCATTAAGATATATATCATAGGATGCGTGGGGAAAGCAAATTCAAAATATTCCACAGGAAGATAGGAAAAAAGCAAATTCATTACAGAAATAATTATTGCATAGAAATTGTGTCGTGCTATCACGTTTAATAGCAAACGTTTTCTTACTAAATGGTTATCGTCAGAACGGTTGGTTTGTTGCTTGAAATATGTTTGAAGACATTTTAAGATATTCATTCAAACAAACATGCTAACGAAAGCTCGAAATAAAGAGAAACTGAAAACTGCCAGTTTATAAAACGTATTTGTTCGAAGTTCAGTTCTGTTGTAATAAAATTATTGTTTCGAAAAACTAGGAGTCAAAACAAGTTCATTAGTACATAAGAAAAATGTAATTTCAATTTTGGCGAACAGATTCTTTCATCCTTAAATCTCCCTATTTATTCTTAGTTGTTGTTCCCTGATTTACAAGAAAAGTAGACGCGTTTCGACATGGAAACTGACGTGACTATGACCTTTTACAGGAAATAACAAGTTATCACTTGTCAACTAAACCCACACGCTTCAGTCTTCTGACAACTGCACACAGATCCACAGTTCATGCTGTGAGTCCCTAACAGCAAGAAGTGCACACACTGTTCTCTACAAATTGCCTTAAACACTTTATTTATTTCCGGAATATTGAAAAGTTAAAGGCAGATTTTAAGTTTTATCATTTACACGTCTTCAAATTCCTTGCGTTTTTCCGTTTAAAAAATCAAAGAGTGCAGACCACGAGGACTTGACGAGCAAGAAATATGACCCAGACTTCCTCGATAAAGTGCAAAGGTTGCTTGTATTCACAAGACCCTCACACTCATGACTTACCATCAGTTCTAAAAAATATCATCAGCAATCACTTTCTGACTGCACATAAGATATCAGATCGATACGGTAAAAACAGCAACAACAACGACCACCTTAAAAACTCCAGTGCTCGATAATACCCCTCTTCTTCTCGCGTGTGCGCGCATTGACATTTTTGTCAGGGTCATGGGTATGATCACACGGCGGCAAGGTAGGGGACCACGACGGCGACGGGCAACGAGGACGTGACGATGCAAAAGAACTAATTGGCGGAACGATAGCTTAGCACGTGAACTTTTCTTAGCCGGCATCCTGGCACAAAAAAATCAAACAAACAAACAACGACGTGAAATCACCAAAATTTGCTTGGTTTGAAAACGGAAACCTCGATGGCAATTTATTTCGTCTCCATTTGGAACTCATCACCGCTGACATGTGTTATGCTGAAGTTGAAGTGTGGCGGCATAAGGGACGGTAAACAACAACCAGCCATTCATGAAAAATTTCATTCTCTCCATGGATAATTATTTTTGTGTTGAACCTCAGGGCCAACATGTAGAAACGTGTGCTGGTCTGGAATCCAGCTCGGTTACGTGCGTGATCCCGGATCGTATGGGGCGCGGTCCCAGATGGGTCAAATCTCGTAAAAATGCAGCTTTTGTTTAGACCCGATTCTAAATACTTTGTCGATGAATGTAACTGAATGAGGTCGTTATGCCGCTGTTTATAGCAATTTATATGATGAGCTGTATCACACAGGCATTTTGATTGGTTCTTACTGAGAGAAATATCAACTGAAATTCTCTCGTTCTTACTTATGATCTGTTGAAGGATAACCGCTTGGATGACGTCGCCATAACAAAATCTTCTGCTTCTTTATTATATAAAACAAGCAGATTCCATGTTGCCGCGGGTCTGCACAGTAGAAGGTCACAGCAGATTTTAAGTGGTCCTCCTGTGCCACTATTTTGTTCTTAACTCATTTTGACGCCATCTGTGATCTATTACTGAACAGACGCTCGGCAACGTGGAATCTACCTATCAATTTTCATGAAATTTGTTATGGTGGTGGGATGAATGAATTTTGTCTTACAAAGGATCAAACCTCTCCGAAGTCACCCCCCCCCCCATCCTTCCCAGGTGCTACCCCCCTCGTTGGAGGCAGATGCCAACCATGTGTAGATCGTGGATCAATTACGCAACAAAAAGCACCGATAACTTTGACAGCGAGGAGGAAATTGGTGCTTGTTATGTTTAATTGGATGCAAAGGATTATCGAGGTTTTCTACAGCAGAATCGTGTACAGTACATCAAGATAATTTGCAGACCACACGCAATTTACTGCCACAAAAAGCTTGCTGCGTAACGGTGATTGAAAGAGAATCGGTCGAAACTTTCTTTTGAAACATGTCGTTAATCATTTCATTGCCTAAACTGCCCTTGGGGTGGTAAGCCCAGTCTGTTTCGTAACACTCGAGACATCGCATTTTCCAGATTTTCAGCCATTATTTGCAGACTCAGTTGAATAAATGGCAAAACAATTTCAATTTCGAGGAGTTGGGGAGAAAAAAGATCGTGAATCTCTTAATTTGCCCATTTTTACAAAGATGTGAGTATCATTGATCAGCGATTTGACCATGGCCAGGTGGCAAAGGAGACTCGAACTCCTTTGCTGAAATGAAAAGGATGCCAGTGGAATTGTGCACGCCATTCTCGGCCTAGGAGTTGCGAAAACTTACAAAAACTCCTCGAGGTATCTTGTGTTGGTTTGGCCACTGGAATGCTTTGATCAAAGGATATTGGGGAACTCTCAAATTCGGAGAAAAAACGGGCCTTGAATTCCTTCATTTTGGCCCTCTCGTGACGACAAGAGACCTAAGGGGAAAATCTCGCTCTTTCCAACACGGCCGAATTATTGACAAGAGAGGTTTATCATCTAAAGTGAAGAAAGGGAGGCTTAGTGTAACAGAGAGGGTCAAAGAAAGGAGGCCGTTTTGATACACTATTGACATCGCGGCAAACAACAGAAAAAACATACCCCACACAAAGGATTGCCGATCGAGTCTTTTAGCTGATGAGATAAAATCTCCTAGCTTTGCTACAAACAGCGGAAGATTCCCAGATTCAAAGAGGTGCATAAAAAATAACAATGAGGGGAAGAACACCACACAGACTTAAATGTTTACTGTCCATCTAAAGCATATCCAGTTTCCGGTCCGTTTTTTAAATGGATGTCCTCAGCTCTGTAACACCCTGAGAGTCACTAACTTTCAACTCCTGGAGTAGAAATACCGCGTACTATGGACTCAACCCAGGCTCGTTTATGTGATTTCCGTAGAAGCTGGTGTTTTTGCGGGGACAATTTGCTCTTTCAGTAAGCGTGTTTTTCCTTATCACACCTTGATTATTATCTGTAGTTTACTCTGTATCTCTGTGTGGAGTGCCGCATCATCTGACAATCTGACATCATTAGAGCAGATTTCACTGTGATTTCATCGAGGATAGGGCGGTTTTTCGTTTCCAGCCGTGACCAACGCGCGCGGATAAGCTCCAGCTATTTATACCTTCGGTGGGTGTCAGTAAATACTGTCTAGCCCATCCGCCTTCTTTACTTCAGCCTAACGCGACGAAAATTTGACAAAACCCCATAACCTGAAGGAATTTCTTTACAGACAAGGATAAAAAGTGGTATGTTCACCGTTTTACTCTAAGCGACAAGGAATTTAGCTTTATTTAGGGATTATTGTCGAATGTGTGTAACGATATAGTTAAATAAGTGCTAATTCTATTATCGTTCTCCAAAGCACTTTTCGCAGTGAATTTACTTAAGGGTTTGTCACAGGCGGAAGGTAAAAATAATTTGTCGTAGACAGTTTTACTAAAATCAAAAGGGCATTTTTCGGTTTCATTTTGGAACAATGAAGACAAAGAAGCTTAATGGCAGAAAGTTACACGTATATTCCGCAGCATCTTTCCAAATAAACTAAAGCTTCAGTTTGTAGCATTTCATGTTCTTGTGTAATTACAACACGATCAAATGTTACGTTTGTCAAACAGTTTTACGGTACGGGTAACAAGTCTAACAAATTCAGTCGAGAACAGGAAATGTTCATTGTTTGATACCCTCGTGTGATTTCCGGTTGATTTATTATTGAACAAAACAGAAGTCAAAATGACATTGACTGACATGCAGCCTTTCTGATGTGTCTTGCTTGCTTTCAATGGGTTTCACTTTAGGTTGTTTCAATCAACTGAGGCTGCCTAATACTATTTTGCTGTGATTTTTTAGGAGATTCTCTTAACAGGTAAGTCACTGTGAAAAAAACTTTAAGTATAACTATGCTCAATAGCTATCATTAGTCCTCGCTTACCCAGGTTACACCGCCCTAGACGCGTCGACGGTTTCACATATACCTTTACTGTGCTGGAAATTGTGTGGCCGGACAAGAACAAGTTCACCTTTCCTTGAGTTCTCTGAATTTTTCCCACCCTCTATAAAATTAGCTCGAACGTGAAAGGAAAACTGGAAGCAGTGAACATAAATTAAGCTGTTCAACATTCTAATATATTACCCTTCGATCGAGTTAATTTTTAATCGTAATCTACTTTCATGTGTTTCGCCATCATACGTCTTTGTAGTGAGAAAGGGCTGTTTGCTGCAGCTTCATTAGTTCCGCAATAACCATCATGAATTTGCTTAGGGTTAGGTAAGTAATAAAAGTGATACGATTTCTGAAACGATAAAGAGAACGTACGAGCATTTGTTTCCAATTTGGTGTGCGACTCATTCGTGCACCTTTGAGCTCACCAAGTAACACTTCGACTTGTAAAATTTTATCAGAAGCAAATCGCCTTTTTGTAACTTCTGCACAACCTTACACCTGTTCCTACACGAGATTTCGCTTTACGCTCACCGAATGAGGTTAGCTAGCGCTTATTCTGTTTGTACCATATCAGCCCTTAA